TTTTTGAGATCATTTCATCTGGTATTTGCTCGGTAGTTGGCTACATAATAATTCAGGAGTGTGTTAGATGCCTAATAGCCTTCCTGCTCCTCTCTTCTCTCATTTTCTTTACAAATCATTTAAGAATCGTTTTGTTAATGGTTTCCGGAAAAGCAAGTACCGCCATTAGCACTCATTCATATTTATGTCATTTTATTTGGGTAATTAAACACAAAGCTCCTCATTTAAAGGTGCACTATCCTTCTCTGTTATCACTAACCAAGTCAGAGTCGGAATGACAATGAGCTCAGCGCAGTCACACACCCCGGGCACGCAGACCCCGGCAGCCAGAGCACCCACTGCTCCCCCTGGGATCCCCCAGCACCCCGACCCTCCCGGCCGGAGCAGGGAGATTCTGGGTGTCTCGCCCCTCCTGCTCTCCCACCAGCCGCCAGCCCCTTGCGCGCCTCCACCGAGCTGATTTCCCCCGTCCCTGCCCGTACCCGGGAGGAGCACAACGGCAGCGCTCGCACCAACCAGCTCCCTCCCTGCTCCCCTTCGTTTATGTACTTAATGATCGGTTCCCAAAGTCCGAGAAAGTGCTTCCCTCTGTCCTGGGACTCTCACTACCCCAGCTCCCAGCACCAGTCCTGCCTGACACACTTTAATAAGAAACCTGGATTTTCTTTTTCTTTATGTATATTAAAAAGTGTCTTAAAACAGTGATGTCATGTCTACCTCAAGATTTTGCTTATTTCATTGTTTTTCCTTATTATTATAGAACGGATGGTTTGCTCCTTGCTTCTGCCGCCAGACATAACAGAGACGCCTCCTGCGTACAAAGTGGGGCACGTAGGGAGATTTCCAGGAAGGGAAAAAACCCCAAGAAGCTGCCTTACAGTTGCAGACCTGCGTAAGGCTAGATTTACCCAAGAATCCCAAAGCTTTTCGTTTAGGAGAATATTTAATACTCTTATTAATCATTTTTAATCCGTTTGCTTTTAATTAAGAAACAGCATGATGCTTTCCTATCAACATATGCCAGGGAGCAGATTAATTGTGGCTTAAGATAACTCTCCTTGATTGGTGTAATGTATTAGCTAACGAGATGCCCGCTTTTAAAGACGCTCAGACACTACCTTGGAAAGCCTGCTGCCCTCCAGAGACCACTTCCCCCCCTTTTCTGGAACCCCCGAGTGTTTGTGATTTTAAAAATAGAATAAAATAAAATAAAATGGAGAACTCAGACTAGAGGACTGTGACAAAAACAACCTAAGAGCCGCTCCAGAGATGACTCTTCAGAGATTGCCAGCCTCAGAGCTGGTGCACAGTTCAAGAAGAAATCCCCAACACCGCTATGGGCTGAGGGCTGCGGGCGGTGCCGAGGCGGCTCCCCAGCCCCAGCCCTGGCAGCGGGACCTGCGGCTGAATAAAATGGAGAACTCAGACTAGAGGACTGTGACAAAAACAACCTAAGAGCCGCTCCAGAGATGACTCTTCAGAGATTGCCAGCCTCAGAGCTGGTGCACAGTTCAAGAAGAAATCCCCAACACCGCTATGGGCTGAGGGCTGCGGGCGGTGCCGAGGCGGCTCCCCAGCCCCAGCCCTGGCAGCGGGACCTGCGGCTGATCGTGTCCCTGCCTGTGACAGCACGCCC